GTCCGGGAACAGCAGTATACGCTGCGATTAGCAGCAGGCGGCAGTCTTGGTGAATACGAGCTTCAACTCCGACCGTCAGAGATTAGCGCAGAGATGGCTATTAATGATGGACGCGTGATCGAAAAGCAGCGACGTCCACGGGGATTGTCGGAGGGAAGCAATGTGGATTGGGAGTCGAGACAATCAAATCGTAAGATTTCGACAGATAGTGGTTGCTCCCTTCCCGGCGTAACAGGTTTGACGCTGCTAAGGAACATTGCCACGACGTCATACACGTTTGTAGCGAGTAAGTATCATCAGGGCCAGCCCGTTATTACCAAATTTGGCGCTGGACACATTGTCTCCGTGGATCCACAGCAAGGATCGGCTCGAATTCAGCTTGGATGGGGAGCGGTTGCTTTCGTTAATGCCGATATGATCGATTATTATCCTAAAGCTCTGGAGGGCACCGATGTGCAGACTAAATTTGGTTCCGGAGTCGTCATTGGATTGCGACCAGCTGACGCTATTTATACAGTGCGTCTGCACGACCCTCAACCCGCCGGAAAGTCTGATGTGGTATTTGTTCACGAGTCCGACTTACACCGGAGCCGAAGAATCGCTGTTACGGCTGCAAATATGCGTGATAAAATCAAGTCAATGGCGCATCGGCGATTTGGGGAACGTATTGTTGTGGCCCACCAACAGCATGACGAAGAGCCAAATTCCGCAGGAATCTAAGCCTATTGATATGTTCATCAATCTTTGGATTTTATATGGCGGAAAAGACGAGCAAAGTGTGAAGTTATATGGCCCCGTCCGTATAAGCTGTTTAGTCTGTTCTTGAGTATTGTCACCAACAATGTGACACCACCAACGCACATATGCAGTCGTACAATTCACGAAAGGGAATTTGCTGTATCTGAAGTGATTAAGTGACAACAGTTAAGTAAAATCTGCTTCATTTCATTGCATGAGTCGATTAGCAACGGCAGCACCAATGAAAGAAGGGGTAAAAGACTATAAGCATATCTGGACACTCCTGCACGCAAATTTTAATTTGTCGTAAGGCGACAACTAAATGTTTTATGAAGTAGTGCTCCTTGCAATACTTGCTCTTGATGCGGGCAGCTCTGACCCAAGAAAAGTTGTGTACATACATCCTTCATTTGCTTTCGTAATATTGCCGTCACGGTACACAAGATCAAAGCCTCCCACATGTTCTGGGACTACCCCTTCAGGTTTCCTGCATTACCGATATAACTGTCAAAATGCTTGAATTATCTCCACAATTGTACAAACCTATTCTCAAGGTCGATGATATCAAGCATATCATTCAACATCTTGCACTTGAGTTGATAGTCTGATGACGTATTAGCTGAAAGCTACATGTTCGCACATCCGACTTTCATTAACTCTTCCGCGTTAAGTATCAGTCTAAGCAGGAGGGTAATATTCACGCACGGATGGTGACGCATTTACTTCTAACAACCAAGGCTTGAGATTTTCGTCTATCATGACGTCGTAGCCGTATAGCTCAAAACAGTGCTTGTCGTTTATGATAACCTTTTCAACGCTAAAAAAGCAACAGTTAGCTTGAACGCAGCACTAGATACTTTTGATAGTACCTCAACAAAGATTTGATAATCACGAGTTGAATTTCGTAGAAAAGCTTATCGATTCGCTCAGTACCATGTTTTGACATCATGTACAGCTTTAGATTGCGTAAGTTCCATTTTCCACCATGCTAAACATCAGCCAAATGATCGCATCAACTGTCAAATACTTTGAATATATCTCGAATATTGTACGGACCTGCTTATTGTAATTGACAGAAGTTTTCTGCACAGCAACGTTTGTGAGGTGTATGAAGGAGTTTGCGATATCGCTGTGATTATTCGAATAGCGCGAATTTGTAAAGCGTGCAAAGCCACCTCGAAAAAGGTAAATTTCAAGTGGAGAGAATGATGGCACAAGCGCATATAGTCGCAGATCAAACTTCTTTCCGCCAACAAGATATGGGTCGGAGATGTAACGCTGTACCACGTACGTCTCAACCTGTTGATTCTCGGGTCGCCACCGATAATCGGTGCGCCATTCACTAACTTGATTTAGCTTTGAAAACAAAAAAATACCTTTCCCTTGGGCTCTGTGTTTGAATATCGAATCAAGTAAGGTGCTTATATGGTTCGCACTTCACAATGTCACTTACTTTCCAATAGGTTTCATGATCCAAACGCCCTGATTGCGTTTGAACTCTTCCACAAAAATAGCGTACTCACCTGGTAAAATGTAAGTGGCAGGAAAGAAATCGTACGAGCCGAAAGCTGAGTCGAACGCGCTTGATGTTACATCTTCTGATCTACAAACACAACTGTTAGATTAAGTGAACTCATCTATCAGGATGTACACACATACTTTGCTTTCTTTTCCGCTTGTCGTTTTGCACGCTTTAGATTTTTTATTAGCAAATCTTTCCTACACAGCTGTAGACAAAGCGTGAAAATGCCTTTCGACAAGCTATCAATCGTCGGAATTGACATACCTCTCGTCCATTCCGATAATGATTCACCCGCTGGCTGCTGTCAAGATGCACAGTATCCAAGAGTTCGTAAATATAATCCCGATCAGCCCAGTAAAAGTTCCAGTCATTTTCAGTTGTTTCCTTCCATCCGCGACGGAGTAGCGTGTCGTAAATGGTATTACGAAAAGTTGTCTTAAAACGCACTACACTATTGCTACTACTGTTCGTTCCGCGAGCGTTATTGACAGACACTCTAGTTTTTCCTTTTGTGTTGCTTGGTCCACCAGTTGGACCTGTTAACCCAACTGTGCTAGTATTTGCAGATCTAGAGCCCAAATTTGATCCTTGCCGAGTTTGAATGGAATTGCTTTGATCACCTCTGCGATTGTGTCGCGTGACTCGCATCATTGGAGTTCTATCTGCTGTTTTCTCTACTCCTGGCATTGAGAGCAACAAAAGCGGTTTATTACTGGTAAAGCGCCGTGCATTGTTATTATTATCTTTTCTTTGCCATGTATTCAAGTATCGCCAATTATGATTATTCAGACTGATTATGTGTACTTAACGCCTCCCATGAAAGTGCGCGGATCTGGTGCAGATCCATTAAACTGTGCATTTGAGAAGTCAAAACCTGGATTCTCCTCCTGAAAGCGCTCCAACATCATCTGTTGCTTCGTAGCTTCCTGCTGCATTGCATCCATCTGTACGTAATACATCCATCACAATGGCTTAGCACATTTTTCTATAAGCGAGGAATTTGCAATATCAAACCTCTCCGTGTCCTACAAAGACACTCGGCCAAATAAATCCTTTCTTCATTTTCTGCAGGTTAATATTTAGCTCTCCAGATTCTGTTGTGTCGAATACGATATGACTATATTCGGTGAAATTGTATCAGCAGAATCGAATAAGCTCACCAAGCATCCAGTAGCTCTCAGCAACAACTACAGAGCTCGTGAGGTCGTGCTAAATTATATGACACGGGTAAGAACCATGATGATGGTCTCCCTAATCACAAATAGACTGTGCACACATTAAGAAATTTGTCCTTGACGCCACGCAATCCAAGCATCACATGGTTGGTGGTGATGTCGCATTGAATCTGTTGCGCTGTGATGCTTGGCGGGGGCTTGATATAAATGTTTACTTCCTCCATCGACTGCTCCCATTCATAAATGACGCGGTCTGCAATTCAAAAGGCCAACATGGAATTGAGTCGAACGAATTCACTTGATACCGACGTATTATTGCGCACCATCGTGCTTGAAAACACGGCGCTGACTTTTGGTCGCCATAAGCTTCAAAAGGTGAATAAAAAGAAAAACTAAACAAATTTCTTCGCCTATTCAGTAGCGCATACAAAATGAATATTTGTTATTGACCATATGTATTACATTGTGACGTTTAAGTGCACCTTGTAGGCTACAAGGTGTCGAGGTTACGGGCCCAACCTCTCAATTGGGCACAATTTAATTAGTTTAATGTTAGTAAATGTACGAAATTCCAGACAGATTGGTTGCCGCTTCTCCACGATTGTAACATCTTCCTTTCCCCTCACCATCAACGCCGACAGAAGAACTCAGGGACGAGTCATTGTGAATAGAATTCGAGGAAGTCAGCATGTAAACCCAGGTGGCACGTGCAAAACGACATTGCCACTTCACGATCACATCAACAATCTTAAGGCGCACGTGACGGAGCGCTCGCTCACAATGAGCAGCTGGAGGCGGTTTGCAGCAGCGATTGCGCGCGCCGACGGTCTTAAACGGGACATCACAGATGAGCGAGAGCTGCGTCGTTCGCTTGAAGAGGCAGTTCACATCAACCTTGTTGTCACTAGAGATGATATTTGCATGACACTCGGCCGAAACTCAAGCAGCGCGATAGCGACTAGACGCAGAGACTATTGGTCACGAAAAGCCATTCTCGATCTCGTTGCTGAATACCGCTATAAAGGTCACCGGTGGATCGATCAAGTGTGCTACAAGATGTAGCACAATAAAATATTATAGCTTCCTGCCAGTTTACCGTTTGAGTTATCGAGTTATCGCTGAAATTTATATTTGACAGAATTTCTTGCCAAGTCTACAGATGATATACTTTTTAATCTACTTGCGAGCTGACTATTGCCATCGTACGTTAGCCAAAAAATAGAAAGATCTTCAAACGCTGGCTGCATTCGTCACGCACCAAACGAAGGTCACCAGAGTCTAACAAAAGATTTTGCGCAGCAACGAGCAATTCAGTCAAGTTGGCTCTATCTACTGCAGAATCTGTGAGCCCAATTTTCAAGCATGTTGCTACACGGGCCTCGCCGAACTGTTCAGCGATACATGCAGAGAACGCCAGCTTTTCTTCCACTGACCAGACGGTAAACACGCTAGAGTACAATCCGTGGTGCGAGATAATATTGCTGCCAAGCTGAAGACCGTTTACACCACGAGTGGCTCCTTCAGACTCGTCCTCAATCGCGTCTTTGTCATGTGAATATCGATATGGCTCAATCAATCGTCGTTGCATGAGCGCTCGTCGTCGAATTAGCGATTTATATGCCTCTTTCTGGCCAACTAACCCTTCAACCAGCTCGTCCAGAGCGCGATTACGAATTGGAAGTGTCTTAACAATGTCACGACACTCTGGACAAGAAAGCGAATTGCGAAACCAGCTACTAATGCAAAGACCACAAAATGTATGGGAACAGGGAAGTGTTGCACTGCTATTGAAATAATCCAAGCAAACCGGACACATCATAAGCCGTTCTTGCTCATCCTGTTCACTTTCTCGAGCTCTCCTTACGATGAAGTTCGATTTTTTTAAGGTTGTTTTGTCCTCAAAAACAATTCCGCGACGTGAGCGCTTTCTTTGTTGACAAGGAAATGGATTCTGTTGTCTATTCACTGCCACATTTTCACTCTCAGCTGCTGGACTGCTGCGATTCCTTTTTTGTGAAAAATGTGGTGGTGGTGTCATCATTGTTGTTTCACTATTCGGCGTGTTTCCAACGGATCGACAACCTATTCTTGTAAGCGCCGGACTATCTGTGATTGTCACTGCCGATCGTCCAGAACCACTAACAGTGATTGATGCATTCGTCATGATATTTTGACATGGTGAGCGACGTGGAGACGCTTCTTGAGCTATGATCCGGCGATGCAGTGGTGGAGGTGATAAGGCAACTGACAACGCCATCGCCTTGATCATAATACGTGTGTGTGCTTCATCAGTATATTGTACATGGATACGCACGCACTGCCGCATAGCCGAGGCCAGCACCACCTCATCACCGCTTCGAAGCTCGTGATTGCCTCCTTTTGAAAGCTCCAGGCCATTTACTGCCGTGCCATTTAATGTCTTGAGGTCATAAATTAACCAGCGCCGCCTAGCCTGACCTTGTTGCGTTAAGGTCTCGGTCACAGGAACAATGCTTGCATGCCGCTTGCTAACGGTGCGAGTCTCCTCGGATGTGGCTATACTGACTTCACATCCACGACTACGACCCACACAAAAAGACGTGGAGAATTCCCAAGAACCGATCGCAATGTCATGCACCATGTTGATGTGAAAAACGAGTACGATAAGAGGTTTGCTTGAGGTTGAATGCCAAAAAGATTTCCGACGGCGAATAAATAAAACTTTCTGTCGTAGCGCAAAAATTTATCGCAGCGAGAGTCAAAAATTGAAATGCAGTTCAGATCGTGCAGGCTCAGAATGGAATGATGAGATGGTGGCGTCGTATACTAAGGCAAGACAGGCGCCGTCGCCTTAACCGAGTCGTCGCGTTTTCCGTACAGATAATATGAGCCAATGGAAAGTGATTTGGATATCTAGATTCGAGAATATAATACTTGAGATTTCGTACCTCAAAAAATATTTTTTTCAAAAGAGTAGAAGGGAGCATTGTCCTAGATTTCTTACTACATCACTCTCTGACGTTCTCATTCCATTTGCTCCGCTTAATAACAGCTCAAGCGACATAACTGGTCATAATGAGCGGGAAGAGCATAATCTCACTTGAAGAAGGCTGGGATCAGGAGATAAAACCTAAGGCTATTGACGTGCTGCTGGATATCTTGGACAAGGGTTTTGATCAGGTGAAAGTCTCACCTTTCCCTCCTAATGCTTTTATGCCAATCTACACAACGTGTTACAACATGTGCACGCAGCGCTCGCCATTCAACTTTTCTGAGCAGCTTTATGACCGCCACGGCCAGACTTTTGATACGTATTTGGAGCATAAGGTGCTGCCCAGTCTAGAGCAGGCACACGACGAATTTTTTCTACAGGAGCTTGTTAAGCGTTGGACAAATCACAAGCTCATGATGAAGTGGATGTCTCGCTTCTTTATGTACCTGGATCGCTACTATGTCAAGCATCACTCGCTTCCGACGCTTGATGACGCTGGTCTACAAAGTTTTGATCGTGTGGTATTTCAAAAGGTAAAAGTGCGCGTTAAGGACGCCATAATTGAACTTATTGAGAAGGAGCGGAACGGTGAAATTATTGATACAACACTGATGAAAAACTGCGTCGAGGTTTTTGAGGTAATGGGTATGAAGTCTCTGGACGTCTACCAGTGTTGTCTAGAGGTGGACCTTGTAACATCCAGCGCAATTTATTACGAGCGCAAATCGAAGGGATGGCTCAGTGAAGACTCAACTCCCGTGTATCTTCTTAAAGTTGAGGAGGCTTTACAAAGCGAACGAAGCCGTGTCCACACGTATCTGCACAAATCTACTGAGCCCAAGCTTGTAAAAAAATTAGAATGCGTGTTGCTGGAGGCTGCCCAAAAACAGCTTATTGACCGAGAAAATTCTGGTGTCATTGCATTGTTGAAAAATGATAAATTGGAAGACCTGGCCCGTATGTACCGTTTGTTTGCTCGTCTGAAAAATGGATTGGAGCCAATAGCAGACCTTGTCCAACAACACATAACCGCTGTAGGAAATGACATTGTTGCCAAGCGTGCGAATGCTGTTGCATCGGGCAATGTGCGTGACCCCAGTTCAGATCCTACATTTATCAAGGAAATTCTTGCTATTCACGATAAGTTTCGCAGCATTGTAACTGATCAATTCTCGGGCAACTCGCTGTTTCAAAAGGCATTAAAAGAGGCTTTTGTTGAGTTTGTAAACAAGGATGTAGGTCCAGATAGCTCTGCAAAGCTCATGAGTACATTTTGTGATCGAATTCTAAAGACTGGTGGTGAAAAACTTAGTGACGAGCAAGTGGAAGACTATCTAGAAAAAGTAGTATTTGTGTTTTCGTACCTTACGGATAAGGATTTATTTGCAGAGATATATCGAAATCAACTAGCCAAGCGTTTGCTGAATCAACGGTCTGCTTCTGCAGATGCCGAGGTGCTTATGATAGGCAAGTTAAAGCTGCGATGTGGGGCGCAGTTTACCGGTAAGATGGAAGGCATGATGAACGACCTTGCCATTGGAAGTGACCACCACCAGGGTTTTGAAGGTTTTCTTGAGAAGCAACGTGAGACCGAATCGAATGAGGCTGCCTTGAATATTGAATTTAGCGTTCAGGTACTGACAACGGGTTATTGGCCGTCGTATCGTATTCTCGAAGTAACAATGCCGCCGCTTATGGTTCGATGTATGAATTTGTTCAAAGTATACTACGACTCAAAGACTAGTCACCGTCGATTGCAATGGGTGCACTCTCTAGGTAGCGCGACCATCCGTGCCAACTTTCCTAAGAAAAAATGGTACGATTTACAGGTAACGACGCTACAGGCTGTGGCGCTGCTGCTATTTAATGATATCGATGGAGCTCTCTCATTTGAAACGATCCGCGAATCGCTCAATCTAAGTGTCGACGTTGTAAAGCGAATCATGCACTCACTGTCATGCGGCAAGTATAAATTACTTAACAAGACACCTGCTGGCAAGACAATCTCAACTACTGATGAATTTGCGGTAAACAAGGCTTTCGCGTCGCCAATGCGTAAGCTGCGTATTCCCATGGCCTCTCTTGAAGAAAGTCATAGCCAAAAGAACGTCGAAGAGGACCGAAGTATCGCTATAGAAGCTGCAATTGTGCGTATTATGAAAGCACGCAAAACGTTGCAACACCAGCAACTTATTTCGGAAGTTCTCAGCCAACTTGCCTTTTTTAAGCCAAATTTAAAGGTTATCAAGCGTCGTATTGAGGCTCTAATCGACCGCGAATACCTCGAGCGCAACCCTGATCAAGCAAACACGTATCGTTACCTTGCTTAAGTTTATCTTTACCGAAGCCTCGCTTTCTGTAGGTCAGTGGAGTGGGCTCAAAAGGTGTCTTGGTTATATAAGTTGTAGGTTTTTGGTGTCAGCTGCTTTTCTTACAAGAAAACAAATTCTATTTCTTAAAGAATCGGTTCAGCGCCGTGGGCGCTTTCTCAGCCTTCTTGTTCCACTCGCGCTGCTGTTCCTGTCGGTCTTTACGTTTCTGCTTGTTAATTAGCTGCTCGCGAAGTTGTTGCCTCTGTGCGTCGATGACATTTTGTTGCTTCTTGCGTAATCGCCGCGATGGGCGGTTTTTACCACGCATTTTATTCTTTAGTTTTTTCGCAGGATCATCCCCGTTCGCAAGCTGCATCTGCTGAATCTTCTGTTCTTGTTCTTCAGCTGGATCCACGTCCACACGACCGATGGTGTTTGGGTCTAGTGTGATCATTTCTGGACGAATTTTTTCAAGCAACGAGCGCACCTCGGACTCGTCACGTTGCTTATGATTCTCGAACGGATTTGCCTCGTAAGTATCAAAGTTTGGTTCACCAGAACCAGGAATTATTATCGAGTTGAAGCCCGCAGCGTGACCCACACCCAGCACATCTTCAAATGGACGGAACGCGACTGAGCTTATCATTGAGCCAGGGATTTGGTATGTCATGTACGGTCTGATAGGCGAGCCGGACGAAAAAGTGTTTTTGAGCACATGAACGTTTGGACCAAAGCCCACAGCCACAAGGCCACGCTGACTCACGTTCAAAGTGTTGGCTGCCGCGCTAAGATAGTAGCTATTTAATTCCTGATATTTACGCATGTCAAAGACCTTGACTTTTCTGTCAGCCCCCGCGGTAATTAAATACTTTCCGCTGCAATCAATGCCCATCGAGCGAACTACAAAAAGTCATAAATACACACAAGCACAATATAAGCCACGCGTACAATTAACAGCAGAGAGCGTTTGGAACATACTCGGTCCTTGATGACACTGCATCTTGACGACAGCATCCGGCATATTTGGTGTCCAAAGAGTTACAATTCCACTTGCGTGACCAAGATTAATAACGGCATTAAACGGATTTAGTGCCATCGTATCACACAGCCCCTGTTTCGTGCGGTGTGTTGACACTTGCTTTCCTACCGTCACATCGTGGTAAGTCAACAGTCCATTGCCACTTACACATGACAGCAAGAAATGATACGGCAAAAATTCCATCCTGCGAGGTTCTGGAATCGTTCGAATGCAATGTGCTTCGGCACCCGTGTTGTCATAAATATACACGTGTTTCTTCTGCGCAGTAGCGAAGAGAGAGTCATTGTGCAAAAAGCTGATGTCACGAACAAGGTCGTTGGCATGAAATTCACACGTGAGTTTCATACGTAGCGCATCTATTTGCGCCAAATGTCCTTTTTGACTACCAAGTAACATGTTGCGACCATTGCGCGTGTACTTGACGCGATATGAGCCGTAATCCGGTAAGTCTAGACAAAAAATCTTGCGTGCGGTATTAATATCGACATTATCTGCGAGCTGTTGTTGCGTGATTTTGTACGTTTTTTCAAGACCTTCAGCCTCCAATAAACCAGCTTGGTCAGGAAGCAGGATTTCGGACTTGGCGGCGGACTCAGCCGCCAGCTTTTGCTTTTCATAAGCACGCAGCAACGAACCCTTGAGCTTCTTGTCGCGAATTCCGCGGATGGAAACGCCTCGGCTGCGAGTATACTTTGCTACGTTTTTGATGTATGCCCTCTTGGACTCATGCTTTGAGTTGTCTGCGCGCTTAGGCGCTTTGCGTACCATGCGCTCAACCGTCATGGATGAATGGCTACAGCAAAAATTGGGTTTTCGAAATTGAAGTTTTGGGTGAATTAATTATGCTAACTGCGATAATACATTTATTTATGTTTGACACTTAGCAATGACACACCTACCGTTGACTTCAATGCTGTGATATAATCAATTCTCTAAGTCCACACCTTGATCTTGACAGCTTAGTGTGGACTCTTCAAAGGTTGCAGACTTAGCGCATTACTTTCCTCGACTATCGTCTCTGCGATTCGAATTGTTTATAGAGAGGAGATGCAGCGGGGCTGCCGTAGCTCTTTTGCTTAGAGGAAGCTAAGCTAAGGTCGATGACCTTCGTTCTATACTTAGAACATAGTACGAGTGTACCAGATCGAAATTCGCTTACTCCAAGAGTAACCACAGCCTTTACCCAAGACGAATAAACTCTTCATTCAAAATGTAAACGTATTTCTTGGTATTGTTTTCGGCAAAGCCGCCTATATCTAATATGTAGGGTTTCTAAAACCCGATTAAAATGCATAACTACTGGCAGTCCAGCCACGCACTGACTTCTTGTTAAGGTGTAGCCACACCATTGTGTGATTATACCGTCTTATGTAACCCACCCCTTATATGATCACATCATCGTGTGTGACCCCAAATCTTCATACCAGGGTACCTGTAAATCCATAACACTCCCCCCTTCAATCAATATTGTGAGCACCCACAACTCGCGTTAAAATGTCGCCTCGTACGCGGCTCGAATGTCTAAGACACCTCTATATCGCCAGGATCTTCTACACGTATT